CGAAACCTTCAAAACTTAAGTAACCATACAGTTCAGTATCCCAAAGTGTCATCTTTCAGAATCCATCTTAGTTTGCCAAAAATTCAATGTTTTTGGAGGTTTTTGAAAAAGATTTGTGAAAGCCCTAAAAAATCACCCTTTTCTAAATCTCACATTATAATTAAGATTTTTAAGGTTGTCTGTTTTAACAGACATGGAGCTATGTTGAGCAGAGTGTTCTGATCAGAATGAGATGTTCAGCAGGTTTGTACGATTTCATCTTGCAGAGTTATCCTAGTTTTGCTAAAGACGCTGAACTACAATTAATGAACTGATGACGTCATTGTTTAGAACATGGTTTTAGCGGTGTAATGTTGTATTAACTCTTCGACGATTCATCGTAAAACCTTCATTTTTTTTTTACGTTGAAGCTAAGACATTTATCTAAAGTTTGATCCGCGGCGATTTTTGATTTCTGTTTTCTGTACAGAGATAAGTGGCAAATACTCTGCCGAATTAAGATTATTTTCAGAGGTCTGACTTAAAATACGTGTAGGGAATGAATGGAAGCGAAATTCAAAAATCGCCGCGGATCAAATTTTAGATATAGGTGTTTACTTTCATTTGAGGCCACTCGCAGCTGTCTGCATCTTCCAACAAAAAAACCTTTACGCTTTTGCTGAGAGCCCCATTTTGCCCTTTGTCACGCAATAACTCGGCAGCACTTCAACATTTCGATCTCGAATTTTTAGCATAAGCTCGCTGGACAGTAAGCATTAGTCACTGAAAGCGCCATCGAAATCGAATATAAGATAAAAAAGTTTTTTCCTGAGGGGGGCCCCCTTAAAGATTAATATAATAATGTTTTGATTTTCCATTCTTTTGTACAAAATAATATATATATATATATATATATCAGAATAAATGATTTATAAAGTTTCTAAGAGGAAAACTGTACCACATGTGTCCTTGAATCAAGATATAAAAAATGAACGATGAGGAATCGATCGAATCGTAGATGAGCGTTACCGAGTTAGAAAACTCTCAGATGAGACTTACTTCGTAACTGGCATACTATAGTCTTTTGTTTTTCTTTTCGAATTCTAGCACTAATCTGTTTTGAGGAAAAGATGTCGCTGTCACAATGAACTACAAAAATATGACACCTATCACTATTAGATAACTCAGCATTGGTCAAAGAATGACTGCCAAGAAAACAAACATACCGGAGGATTCAAAATGGCTGCCTCACCGATAACTATTGAAAACGCTAATTAGGCCTCATAATGAAGATTATTATCGCTTAAATTTGAAAGGATACGGCTGAAATAAGCGTTTGACGTAGGACTGCAGTCGAAAATCTGTCACAGCCAGATTTAAATTTATATTGCTTTAAGTATAAGTATTCTTTCACTTTCCTATTTCTATAAGATCGCCCATAAAATATACTTTGAAAATCAGTTGAAATATGTAATTCTTATGCTTCATTCGAATGTGAAGTTTCCTTTAGGGTGAAAACTCAAATTTTGTGATACGTTCGCGTTTTGATAAAACTTCAAACAATTTTAAAAGTCCAATTTTGCTTAACGAAGACAAATTACCATATAAATAATTTTCAGTGCGTCACTATTTCGGTGTTTCTCTTATAAGAAAAAAAGATGATGTTGTACGTATTTAAAATATTACAATAATAACCTAGTATTTTTATAGGCAGACGTTGACAAAAGAAATTGAATTGAAGAAATTAATAATTGAATAGAATTCGAGATCGGTGCATACTCGTGCACTATCAGTGCCGATCACATTGTTTTTTTTAGAATAAGCTTTATAGTTGAATTCAGTCGAGCATTTAAAATTGCATATTTTGATTTAACTGCTGCCGTCGCTGATATATTATTGATCGTCTTTCTTTCAAAAAACTTAAGTTTGGTAAAGTAACCAAGTTGGCTCCCGACAGCGAAGAATCAGGTAAAATATTTTTTAATTCAAGTTAAGAGGTTCGTTTTACTATATTCCAAAAAAACGAGGCATAATTATTTTAAAGTAATTAGAGCTTCTGTAGCGACATCTATCCATTACACTTATTATTTGCATCATATTGCACTAGTTTCAAGTGGAATACGTTAGAGTACTACCATGAGCGTAAGAGTTGTTCCTGTCGGTTTTATGAATTTAAACTCATTCATCAAGCCTTTAACCAATGTTCGTAGCAGAATTAATTATTCAGATCCTTCCTATGTAGTATTCGAAAGCGTTGAAGTCAATAGGAAACAATTGATGATGTACGCTTCACAATCTTTACTGTTCGTTCTCTTACAATGTGTTTTTATATGGTATTTAATCAGTTTTAGTCTGTCATAATACTTGCCTACAAAATGGAAAAACACTTCAATTTAATATTATAAACAATTAACATTTTTTCAGATCATTTAATCATTTGGACGATTGAATATCAGATTCATGAATATCGACGGATTAAAATATACTGAGCTTCAGCAAGAATTAAAAAAGCGTGGTCTTGGGGCTCGCGGAACGAAACCAGAATTAATTGCCAGATTGAAAAACGCCATTGAAAAAGAGCAGAGTAATGTTGCCTCAGCAAATACTGGGGAAATAAATATGAGCGATGCAAATAATTCATCTGGTTCAAGTGTTTTGACAAATACAGTTCAAATAAATGCAACGGCGAATGAAAATTTGTCTGAACAAAATCACAACAAACTACCAACAATAACACAGGAAGAAAAAGTTGAGCCCCAAATAATAGTCAAAGAAGAATCACCACAACACCACGAATCACCACAGCAACCAAGCGACGATGTAAAATCGCCTCTTTTGATTAATGAAAACAAGATTTCAACCGAAGTAACAACAAACAGTGTAAAACCAGCTATTCCTGAGGAAACTGTCGCAACAAACAGTACAACATCTGAGAAACCTCAAACTGGTGGTTCTGGGAAAAGACGTGAACGTGATGATGATTTGAGTGACCACGATTATAAGTAACTATACTCATCCTTTTGTGGGAATTAGTTAATCTAACATAGCCTACTTTCTTTCATTCAGTGAACCAGCGAATGACAAAAGTGACACCGATAGTGTAATTTTGTACAGAGATCATGAGGTAAGGTCATTTATGGCAATGTCAGTCTAACTTAACTTCTTCCTTCGTTTCAGACAAATGCGGTTCGAGCTCAATTACTGCGTCATCCCATAACGTGTCAAATGTGCAAAATTACTCGTCACACCATTACCGGTATCCGTCGACATTTTCTTGGAAAAAAACATCGCTATCATGCAAAAAAAGCTATTGTAAGTTTTATCTCAAATTATCCATCTATCTTTCTACTTTACATTCTTTCCATTTCAAAGACGAATAATTCATTTCAACCATCAGTCCTTGATCAATTATTACATCTATCAAAATATGATGGAGTATGTTTCTGTTTTTTGTTCTGGGTCGTATTTCTATAATGTGTGCGTGTTTTACAGATTCCATATCAAAGCGATGAATTTCATTTTCTCTATAAACACTTACCTTCAGTGGAAAAAGAACAAATGCTTGATTCTTGTAAGAATGTCAAGGTAGAAGAAATGGAAGTTACTCTAGTTTATAGTGGTAAACGCTATTCAAAATGTGGTAATATCAGTGATATTGGTACATTAAGAGTGGATTTATGTGAGCAAGTTCTAAATAGCCCTGACCAACAAGATAAATTGCAAACATTGTCACAAGATTTTTATTGGAAGAAAATTACAAGGGGTAAAATCGAATAATTACTACACAAACTACTTAAGACATGTATTTCTAGCATTTTATCTTTGCTTCTCTTTCTTAGATAGCCCTAAAAAACACCGTTTTTCGCAACAGTCATCGTCTGAAGATGACGCAGCTATTACAGATAAAGATGGAGATGCGATGACAGAGGACGAAAATGACCAAGACCAACCACAGCATAATCCGCCTATAATTCAACAATATAATGGAAAGCCATGGTTAGTTGCTAATAAACTTTATGATGAAGAAAATAAAACTATTGATGAAATTGTGCAAGTATGTATTAGTGAAATGTAATTGTTATTTTTAGTATTAAATTCTTCGTTTTTTCAGCACACCGTTGATTACTGTATATATCAATTGATTAGTTCAACGGGTAATGGTGAACGTTTTCGAATGAAATTATTTTTTCAGCGGCAATCTGAGATACATCTAAGTCGTGCAAATGAATATTATTGTGATTTATGTAACGTTATTTTACAAAACGAAAACATACTATATCAGGTGAATAATGTGGTTTATGTTTATTAGTAGTTTGAAAGAATTATTTTATTGTTGTAGCATTTGGATGATCCCGTGCATATCCGAAAATGGACAAACGACAATCAGTTGCCATGGAGAAAAGCAAAAGCACATGTATGTTAAAAAGAAAATTAAGTTCAATTATCAGTTTTATCTGACTACTTTTTTTTAGTCGTTGGTTACAGGAATTTCGTTAGAAAATGTATTTGGCTCTGAAAACTATCAACTATTTATTAATACATTAGGTTTATATGTCGCCGCAAGGCAAACGCGAGGACGTGGACGTTTTGTTTGTGGGTTATGTGAAGAATTTTTCAAAGATGAATATCAATTAGAAAAACATTTATATACCAAAAAGCATAAATGTTTATCCACACCAGAAAATTTACAAAATCATCGAAAAATAGTCTTGGTAGTTTGAAATTTATATTGTAGCTTATAGACTTCTCTTCTTTTCTTCTACTTATTGTACGACTTGGCCAAGTAACTTTGCTACTACAATGCCCTTCCGTAGCATTTTTTGTGCATTTTTGTTTCTTCCATTGCTTTCAAACAAAAGCAGATCCAGAACTCTGTAACGTCTTAAAGTGAAAAGTCTGTGGAATAATTTAAGATGTTTCCATACTATACATGATCTTTCATTCAAAAGCTGAGATAAAAATACAAACACCTACTTTCGGTAGCAGAGTTACCTGGCGTGTAGTTATCATTCTCATAACGTACTAAATAGTCTTTAATTGTAATTTTAATAATTTTAGAATTTAACTAATCGTTTGTGTCTGCCTCGTATGTTTCGTCGAGCTGGCATAACATCTGTTCAAGAAGTCCCCGCCAATATTGTTCGAAGATTTCGTTTTGCACCTTATACAATACAACAATTAGAGACAGATGTTCATTTTGAATTAGAGCGTATTAGAAATTTTGAACAACAACAACTACCTTCATTAATGTCAACAAAACGTCAACGTTCCTATGAGACAATATCTAATAAGAATACAAACAATCGTAACAACGATAATATTCAATCATTACTAAATATTGACACGTCGAAAAGATTTTGTACAAATTCTGCTATTCCATCATTAATGTCATTATCATCGCAGCCACAGCCTTTCTTTTCATCTCAACAACAACAACCAATTAGAGCGCCAGCATTTCAAGGAAATTTTCGACAACAACAGCCAAGACCTTTAATACCTCCGTCACTAATGAGTAGTAATCCTGTTCGCTTTGTTTCTCATACGATGTCACAGCAACAACAGCATCGTCCAATTCCTTCTTTAATTGGCAACCAAGTAATGAATGGAACAGCAAAACTTCCACAACAACCACCTCCTATTAGACCATTATTGTCAACTGGTTATGGTTTCGTTAGTAATAATTCTCAACAACATCGAACAACAATGCCACCTTCACTGATGGCAGTTTCGAATTCTGGCACAATGAATCAGAATGCATTTTCTTTTCCGCAACAACCAGCTTCTCGGTATAATGTTCAACCTCTTCTTTCTGGACAAAATTTACCCCAACCATTATTCAATCAATCATCAAAACCGCTTCCTTCATTATTAAATAATAATTTATTATCGACAGTGAATCAGTTTCCTAATGTAAATTTACAACCGCGTAGTTTAATGCAAGATTTTCATGTTCGCCCAATTTCTCAGCAGCCCGCACCTCATCTTTATTCTCAACATCAACAACCTTATAGACATCATCTAAATAGCGGTTATATACGCTATCGATGATAAACAATGATTATTTGTCTTTTTTTCTAGACTATTTGTTTTTGATAGATTGGTCGTATGTGATTGTGTGTTTGTTATTAGTGTGTTTTTTTTGTAAACATGTAAAACACAACAAAGTTTAAACATTCTCCGAGTCAATGATCTCGATTCGTTTTTATTTCCGTTCTTTTTCTAGGATGTTATTTTTGTGTTTTCTTTTATCAAGATGAAGAGATATGCGATTTCGAAATTTTCTATTTGTTGAATTAATGAATGTTCTGTGTTCTACACAGTTGATGTACGCTTTTTCTAAACAATATTGTATTTCTAAACAGTTTATTAAGAATGTCTATGTCTTTACATATTTATCTCTTTGCAAAAGTCAAAGTTGTCGTATGTTATATTCTGGATCAGCAGTTTTGAAATTTCAAATCTCTTTAACAGGTCAAAGGCGACTTCCTCACAACTCTCCGCATGTACTGAGTTGATGATATTGTCAAATGTCGAAAATATCGATAGTCAGTTTAGTTTAACTTCAGTCCCCTGTCACGGAGAAAAGAAAAGCAATATCAGATTTTCTTTAAGGTTATGTCTGGGCCCAGCTGTTTCAGGCGCTTGTTACAGGAAATGTTTAACTGGAATGCACGATAGATCTAATATTTGACCAAAAGCTATTTATTATATCACCAAAAATCAAATTTTTTCGATTTTTCTGCACAAGATTAGACAAAACTACAACTTTACGGTAAAGTTGAATTTTCTCAATGAAACATTTAAACTTGATTGACATTGATATCTTTGTACAGAATGCTTGCTGTAGTAAGATGAGCGATACTTTTATTATGTCCAACAAACTTTAGAATAAAACAAAAGCCAATAAGTTTGACTAGGTGGTAAATGATGGCAGAGGACTGAACTTATGCTTACGAGAGGCAAATATGTAGAGTAAAGTTTGTAAAGTTATCTCAGTGTAGTCTGGATTTCTACTGATCTGCTAGTTTTCAACTTTTTTCTAGAGAATGACGGATGAAATACCACCGTCATCGCGTCGTGACATACCAAAAAGGACTGTTAAAGATTTTAAGTTTATAAAAGAAATTGGAAATGGATCATACTCTACGGTAGGAACTACGTTATAAATACTACAGATATCTATTGTTTTCTTTTATTTTAGGTATTTTTGGCTATTGAAACTGCTACTAACCGTCAACTAGCAAGTCAGTGAATTTGTAGGTGAAGCAGATTCAATTTATCTAGAGATTTTTTCTGTATTTAGTAAAAGCCGTTAGTAAAGAATTGGTTACACGTTGCAAAAAAGTTGCACAAGTGTTTCGTGAAAAAGAAATATTAGCACGTCTGATGGATAGTTCTTATATTGTAAAATTATATTGTACATTTCAAGATGAAAAAACATTATGTAAGTTTGTCTATCATTTGAAGAGGCATCACATTCATCTTTATTACGTTTATAGATTATGGACTCACCTATTGTCCGAATGGTGATCTGCTTCATCACATAACAGAACTAAAATATTTTCCCGAGAATGTGACACGGTTTTATACAGCCGAAATCTTAGAAGCAATTGAATATATACATTCGAAAAAAGTCATTCATCGCGATCTTAAACCTGAAAATATTTTATTAACCGATACTTTTCATATACAATTGACAGATTTTGGATCTGGAAGGATATTGGATGATGAACAAATCCAACAACGATCTAGTAACACTGACGATAGTAACAGTGTGTATTTTTGAAAGTTGTCTGGACATTAAAGTAGATAATTATTTTTTTGTCTTACTTAACAGTTGGTGATGAAAAGAAGCTAAAACGATTAAATTCATTTGTTGGCACAGCACAATTTGTTGCACCAGAAATACTCAGTAGAAAACCAGTTCATTATGGGTACGTTTAATGTAATGCAGAATTTTTGCTAAACTCGTATTCCCTTTTGTACCAGAAGATCTTCCTTTTCAACGAAATATCGTTCATGAGGAAAGGTCCCTCCAAGTGTCTGATCGCTTTTTGAATAAAACATATGTAGATATATATAATCGATGATGCTGATTCCGAATATCATGATGGAAGGAGGCATGTGAGCGTTTGCTCTAGATCCAAAACCTTTTTAGTCAGTAATCGTTTTTGACCATGCCAGTTTATAGAGTACGTCAAATTACTTCTACGAAAGACTTTTCGCCACTAAGTTTTAGCGGAGTTATGAAATGGAATTGTAACAGCAGCTATTTTGAGTAAATCAATCATACTATAATATATTTTGAATAAATCCTAATAATATTTGAGAACGATTATTAACCCTTGATGCTGCCAAAGATATTTAAAAATAGCTGCTGTTACATAACTGTTATATAACTTCGTTAAAACTTATTTAATACCGACGAAAATTTTTTCGTAGAGATAATTTGACGTACTCTATAAACTGGCATGGTCAAAAACGATTACTGACTAAAAAGGTTTCGGATCTAGAGCAAACGCTCACATGCCTTCTTCCATCATGATATTCGGAATCAGCATCATCGATTACATATATCTACATATGTTTTATTCAAAACGCGATTAGACACTTGCAGGGCCTTCCCTCGTCAGTCTAAATAAACTATGTGAAAGAAAACTTTTTTAAGATCAGATTTGTGGTCATTGGGATGTATTATTTATCAAATGGCGACTGGTCTTCATCTCTTTACAGGCTAGTAAGTATTTTTATGATTTAAGTTTAACAAATGAAAGAAAAAATATGTTTGTCGTTTTTAGTCATGAATATGATATTTATAACGCTGTTGCTCGTGCTGGTTACACATTGGCGGATGATCTCCCACCACTGATTGCGGATATTATCCGTAAATTAGTTGTAAGTAGAGAATGAAGCATGTCTATCGCAAATATCATCTGATTTATTAAGGTTCTTACACCAAGTGAACGTTTGGGCTCAGAAGAAACTGGTGGTTTTATCTCATTGAAATCACATGACTTTTTTATTGGAGTACCTTGGAATAATTTACAGAAAGAAATATCTCCATTACGATCAAACGATTCGTCAAATATAAACTCATTCACCATCAGCGATGAAGATGTATGAGTATTACTGCATTCTATTAAAGTTAGTTAGTGATTTCATTTGGAACATACTCTGGTGCATTAAAAAAGAAAACCTACTCAAGTAGATTGAAATAAGAAACAAAGAGAAACTTTTTTACACGATTAATTCAACGAGCGTTGATATTGAGGGACATATACTTAATATCACACTATCTGACTATTGCCCTATTTCCGATTGAACTGTGCATTAAATAGCTGCAACGTTCTCTGATTTCAAAAAGACGGTGACCACAAACATCGACAAATATGCTAGAATGGAATTAAAAAAAGAAAGTTGGAAATACTAAAGGGTTCAATTCTTCCTACACTAGCATTACACTATTTAAAGCGACTTGTTAAATTGATGTGGATTAATTCAATTGATATCAATTCAACAAGTCAGAAACAGAACTGTTTGACACAGAAGAAGAAACAGAGAAGAATTATGTTGAGCTAGAGAGAAATCACCTATATGACCAACCTGAGCAAGAGCCACAGAAGAGAGAAAGGCATCACGATGTAATAATCCATCAAATTCATCGCTACTGAATCCTTCTCGCCACACAAACACAAAAGCTATTAATTTCGATAACTATCACTAGCTTTATAGTCTTGTTCGAGGCAGTTGATACCAGATCTAAGTAAGAAAATCAGAAAATCAATAGATCTTAGAACAACACAGAGCAGAAAAAGTTGCAAAAATCAGAATTTTTCTGCGAAAATCAGAAGATCTGAGGTCCCTCAATATTCAACTCGACATTTAGTTGTTCAACTGTTGATGAAAGCTTATTGGTTAAATTTAATGATGACTGTTGTTTGTTGATAAAATAATGAGAATTGAATAAGTAATTGTTGCTTCATATTCACTATCATATTTTGCATATCAATTGTTTGTGTAAGATCCTTATATCTGTTAGTCAAAATCTGTTCTTGGGTTTTGAAAATGTGTAATTATTTCATCATTTTTGGATTTGAGTATCCTCATCTATTCAACGAATTTTTCAATCGATAAAGTCATACAAGCTTTTTTATTTAAATTAGCTATACATATATGTTCAAGACGTGGTTGAAAGATTTTAACATTACAGTTGTTAATAATGAATGAATAAATATTATTAAAAAAAAGAACGCTGAAGATGCCGCTAGGTATCGGTGTGGAAAAGGTTGTCAAAACCTCGTGGTCAGAGATGTTAGGTGCGCCGCCGATGCAGCAAATTTTTTGAAGGTCGAAATTTCTGTAGAAATAAACGCAATGTCCGCCGCCCATTGCAAATTTCTTTTGCGTTCTTCACGCCGACGAAAAGTCTATCGGCCAACATCTCTACTCGTAGTCAGATAAGACGAGGACTGTCTATGTTTCAGATCATTAAGAAAATGTTGTGTTTAGTTGAATTAATATAGTTTTATTGTTTTTACATCTTTTATTAAATAATGTAAAACAATGTAAAATCAAATAAAAACAACAATGCACAAGTTGTACATTGTTGTTTTTATTTGATTTTACATTGTTCATTTATTTTCAGCTGAAAAATATGAAACCGGGATATGATGGAGATGTTCAAGCTCGATTGATTGGATTAAAAATGGCCGATAATAACGACACAGGAGCAAAAATAACATCTGCCATAGATAAACAATCCACATCGTCAACACAAAATAAAAACTCATCAACATCAAGCTCATCTTATAGTTCTCAATCTTCGAATAATGCCGCTGTGAATTCATCAAATATCGATGGTGTTAATCTAAATAGGAATAATAACAACAGTAGCAATTTAATTTTATCAAACAAATCATCATATGTACTTTCAAATCGAAAGTATGAATGCGGCATGGTCAGCTAACGCTGCTACTGGAGTGAAATTTGGTGACGGTTTTTTCGCATTTTTTTTCTCTTATAATTTTCGAAGGATGGGAAGCCCAGAGACCAGAAACATCCCTGAAGAGAAAATTGTGCTAAAAATTTCCCGCCGAAGAAGTAGGTATTTGTATTTTTGTCATAGTTTTTGAACGGAAGAACGTGAGAACGTCTCAAAATCTTTAGCACAATTTTCTCTTTAGTTTAAGACGTTTCAGATCTCTGAGTTTCTTACCTTTCGAAAATTATAAGAGAAACAAAATGCAAAAAAACCGTCACCAAATTTCACTCCAGTAGCCGAGTTAGCTGGCCATGCCGAGTGTTATTTTTTCTACATGATGAAAGCTAATTAGAGAAAATCTTTTCCTACAGAAGCAAAATAAATGACTACGATGAGCAATTATCAAACCAAGCATTGCATAATATATATCATCCTTTTGTACAGAATAATCTTATTATCAAACAAGGTCTTCTGGAGAAAAAGAAGGTAAATGCTAAAATATCTTGTTTTTCACGTGATATTAGGTTAAATCTACCATACGATTGATAAGCTTTATTCTTCGTTATATTTGACAGGGTCTTTTTGCACGCAAACGAATGTTTCTAATTACTGAGGGTCCCGGTATTTATTATGTTGATCCAGCAGTAATGGAGTTTAAAGGAACGATACCTTGGTTAGTAAACCTTTTGCTGGTTACAGGCTTAACAGCTAATACTAATTTTTATCTGTGTTCTAGGACTGATGAACTACGTATTGAGCAGAAAGATTCAAAAACATTTCTTGTTAACGTCGTATGTATGATTAATAATTGCCTTTTCTTCTTATTCACGTCTGTAACATTTTATTTCAGCCTGGACGATCGTATCATCTAACTGATCCAAATCACAATGCAGTCGGATGGTGTCAAGATTTATGTGATATTCACATTGAATACTACGGCTCTAACCCATTAGCGAAAATTGACTCAGTATCTAGCATAGGTAACTCGAATGGAAAACAAGATATAGTGCCTGTCACTGAATTATAATCGAATAATGTTCTTCGGTAATTTTGTCTCATGTGTTTTTGACTTTCTTTCTTCTTATTTTTCAAATTTATCTATTTTTATTAATTTTTTTTCGTTACATATTCTTCTGTTATTGCTTTTATTGAAAAAATTAAACGAAAGTCAAATTAGTCAAACAATTTAAAATAAACACTTGAAACAATTTTATTTTTTATCAGAAACACCTACATTTTTATAGAATACACTTTTTTTCTTAAAATTGACTAAAACAAGCTTCAGGTTTACTTGTACGCGTTCGACAGTAATTGTTGTCAAACTATTCTCTATACTCAACATCACGCATCAGGCTATCTGGCAAAAACTAGTAAAAAGTGATCGAAATAATCGGATGTTCTTAGAATGACCTAATAGATTAGACATTGATTATTGAAAAAAATATTCTAGTTTTAGAAAAGGGACTAGTGTTTAGACGAATCCTGATCATGATTTCTGACTTGATGTTGATCATGTGAGCATGTTCCGGTATAAAAAGCTTCCTTATACATTTTTTCTGTAAAAATTCAACGTATATAAGACTTTAGTATCAACGATTCCTGATTTCCGGCAGTTAGACCTAGATATAGAATAAAATGTGATGAACACGAGACTTCTTCAAATTAGAATAATCATTTTCATGATATGTAAAAATGACAATGACTGGTAACTCCCATTTCCGATTATTCTCTTATCAATACCTATTGACGAACGATAGTATTATGTAAACTATGACGATTATAGACATAATAGAGAAAATTCAAAGATTTCCTTTTTCTAAGAGTTGGGATAGTTCATATTTTTCGTATATAAAGTAAAACAAATTATCAGTGAGTTCATTATCAGAAATCAAATCGATTACTATTTCTTTATAGGTAAGTTGTTTGAATACATTTACACTGATACGTGAAACGTAACTTTAGCAGTGAACTCAAGTAAAAGTAAAAAGAGCTAGTATGAATGAGTATAAAACGGAGATTGAATAGGTGAGTAAATAATTCATACATCTTACTGTTCAATCTTAGAACATGACGTTAATAAGTATCAATTAACGACGATTTGTAGAGCGGCATCTACGGTTCATCGTAAAAACTGATAGCTTCAAACAGAGCTTTTATAAACTGTCAATTTCGATAAACTGATAGTATTCCTAACGTTCAACTTTTGATTATAACATCTATGACACTTAGTGACATCTATTCGAGCGAGTAGATTGGCTAAACTTGTGACGAAATGCACAAGTCACGCGGAGATGACTCACAATGCTGTTGTTTTTTTTCATTTTTAGTTTAAATTTGAATTGGATTTTAGATGGAATGAACGACGTGTTGATTGATACCTGCTCAACTTATCCTTTTGTATATCGATCTCCTCTTGATTTGCAAGCCTACTAAATCTATGCATCATCTTTTTGCATTATTTTCAATAGGCTTAGACAGTGAAACTATCAAAATTTATTGTTCTTTTGTTTGTTTCAAATTGTTTTCAGATTGTCATCGCTTGGTGTATCATTTCTAACAAAAATGGCATCGACTAGAAAACAGCGTGGCAATCAAACGATGACTGGTAACGAAAATACTATACCGGATGTCTATTCGATGAATTTTATTCCCATACCACATATACGTAAATACTTGTTTTGTTAAAAAGTATTACTTCATGTCTCAATATATTTATTTTGTAGCCACGAATTATAATGATGATAGGGCGTATCAGACAAGTGTTGAAGATGTTAGCGAAGAAACACGATATATATTGGAAGAATTTATTCTCGAACGAGCTGCTGATGATGGTGTCGATCTTGGTCTTGTCAAACCTATACTCGATTTTGATCCATTATCATGTAAGTGCGGGGAATACGGGCAAAATTTTAAACAATTATGTTGAGCTTGATGTGTTTTTAGTACCGCAATATCGACAAATACAAATGATTGCACAAACATTACGTTTGATTGGTGATGAATTAGATCAAGACATACGTCTAAAAAGGTATGTTTATTTATTAATTGATAAAAAAAGGAATTTTTAGTAGAATTTTCCAATAATTTAACTATTTTCAGAATATCGATGTTATGTGGTGCGTAATAAACCTGAGAAGCACTGAAAACTCTCAGTGGCTGTTCGCTTTAGCATCTTTTTTTTTCTGCTATAAATCTTGCTTGTTTCAAAATCTTTAACGCTTTTGCTTCTCACAATTCATTTGGCAAAACTGCAAATATACGCCTTTTCTCTTTTTTGTAGTATGGTTGAACAGGTTCCACTTCATAGTCCATATGAGACATTTAGTGATGTTGCCAAAGAATTATTCAATGATGGTATTTATAATTGGGGACGCATCGTAACATTGTTTTATTTTGCATATAAACTTATTATGAAGGTTTGTTACAAACGATTTATCTTAACCGATAGTCTCTATTTTGCCTGTTTTGTCCTTGTAGTCATTAACAGAAGAAACGTCAGTAATGAAAATGATTGTCGACTGGACGGTTCGTTTTGTACGAGAAATCGTTGCACCATGGATTGTAAGAAAAGGTGGATGGGTAAGTGTGAATAATTCATAAGTTCATTAAATATCATATTCTTTCTTAGCTCAACTGTTAGCAGATTGTAGATGTATAGTTCATCTCTTTCTCATTTCTTTTCTAAGAAAAAATACCGTACATTTACATGGTGTTCAGGCCCGTATCCAGAATTTTTGCCAAGGGGAGGACCGATTCTTTTTCCGTTCAGAGGTAGTATGAAATTTTTTTCTAGTTGAGCGCAGAAGTGTTGTACAAAAACTTGCGTTTGTTTGCTCATATCAACTGGCAACTTTTTCTTTTCATAAATGAGTAAAACAAAGTAAAACATTTCTACTAGAAATATTGAGACTGTTCATTCAATACGACTTGTTACTGAGAAAAAAATGTTCAGCTGTAGGAAACGAAATCTGTTTCTCTTTTTTCTTATCATGACGAAAAAATGCTTTTCCGAAGTTTATTTACATACACAGTTTTATTTTGACTGCCATAATATTGTGAGCTGACTCCATGGGATCTTCGGGACAGAGTATAGACAGTATAAAAACATAGAAAGTCTGATATCATTTAGCGAGGAAAAAATCATTTCTTCAAAAGTTCAGGTGGGGGATCGGTCTCCTCAATCCCCCTCCCTGGCTACGGGTCTGATGGTGTTAGCTTCAAACAGTTGTAATAAAATTCATAAGAAACTTTTTTAGAAGTATGAAAAAGATTATATAGTTATAAGGAAAAACACCATTTTATTATGTATTCATGAAATTTATGTTTCTTTCAGTTTGTTATATTACGTGATTGTGGACCAAATTCGAAACTGTCGACAATTGGTATACTGTTAAGTGGTGTATTAGCAACGTTTGTTGTAGCTCTATATTTTATGAGACGTCCATAATATGTGTTGTTTTGATCAAACAAATCCATCTCGATTGTTTTATACTCATCATGTTTGTTTTCCTTTTTGATTTTCGGCCTGGGCTTGTTTTGATTTACACTTTTACAGATCATATTTATTCAAGACAAAAAACAGATAAAAGAAAAAAATTTCAGTTCAAATTGACGCTGTCCTTCCATCTGTATTCCATTTGTCAACAGCCGTCTCTTTCTCATTTTTTAAATTTTTTTTGTGAAAAAGTCTCGAGAGAATGTCAGATGAATTTTGCGGTTTTTCGCATGTTTTTTTATTTTTCTCGTTCAATGTAATTTGTATTTTTAAGAGTTATTGTTTTCGCCTATTTAGTCGATGTCGAAGTATTATATATCATGAATAATAAATAGTCACATCGGTTGCAATATCAAAAATAGAAATTTTAGACATTTTTCATTTCACAATTGTGAAAAATAAACTTCAGCCAAAAAAATGCCTTAGAAATCTCCGTATATAATGAGACAAAGATCGCCTTCCTGTGAATAATTTATGAAGAGTACAACATTATTTTACTCTAAAAGGTTTTCTAGTAATCTACAGAGTTAATAAATGATTTTTAAGCAGTGTTACATTCACAGAGTTAGTAAAACAATATAAATAATCAAAAGTTCACGTATTGAAGAACAGGGTTCCCGATCAGGGGGTGAGGAGGCGAAATGTTTAGCCCCTCCTATCCCTAAGAACAACCGGAAACCCTGTTGAAGAAAATGGAACGTACCGATATTTTGCTTCAGCCATTTCTTTATAATTCGTATTTTTGTCAATATTCATCATATCTAGAAATAATACAAAGTAGGCAACAACAATCTCTTGAAACTTTAAAATAAATAGTTGTTTCTTACTTGTATTTTTTGTCATATTTCGTACAGAAAATAAGACCGATATAATCTACAAACTCAAATATAACAAATAGGGTATTCATTAACAATGAAGTAAACTTTTTTCTTTTACAATAATAGGTGCTTCTCATAGACAAACGGTTCAGCTCTTGACCAAGTAATCTCACGTGCGATGATCCATTCCTGAATTTGTATGCCTCAAATGAGAATTTTTTTGAAAGTTATGAAACTAAAAGTAAAGTTACTCTCATTTTACAAAAAAATAATTAGGTTGAAGGGATATTTTTCTTGTTTAGTCCAAACAAAGAGATGTGGTTAATCTAACTTCATACATTTACAATTTACATTGTTATTTTTAAAAGTAAAATAACGCTATGACAAAAAAGTGAATTTCTTCGACAAAATTCAATTTGAATAAATGAAGTGTTTGTTAACAAAAAACAAGAAAGCAACAATATTTATTCGTGATAAACGAATAGAATTCTAAAATAGTAAATCATCAATTAATATTTTTTTGAAGTTTGTGTTCGTCGTTTCTGAAACATAGACAGAAATGCAAAGGAAATGCTGAATGGACTATAATAATATTTGCACTGACCGTTGTTTCAGTTTTTGAAGCTGATTCAACGAACGTCTTTTTTGGACCTTTTCCGATTGTCGAAAGAAGATCAGTGTTTGTTGTTGTTGTTGCTAATGACGATGACGTTTGTTTCTCTTTTATCGTTGATCTGTCATTTGTAATACCAAATACAGATTCATCATACAATGTTTTAAGATACTCAATCATTTCACCACATGTATACGTTTTATATGCATCATAACGATGTAATAAGAGCCAGAGTGATTCATAGAATGACTCTTGAGATAACAGATACTCTTTGTTATTGCTTAAGCAATACAGTATTTCTAGTTCGTTTTCAATGGATAAAGTCATCTGAAAAAAATTTTGTTTACGTGAGTTTATTAATATTCAATTACGACCTTCTAATTAATTATAATTTTTTTATTGTTCTAATTTTATTTTACAAAATAATCGTTTAGATATTGTTTCTCATTCGTTCAAAAACCTATAGATAGACTTTGATCATCCTTTCAAAAAGGCCACACTATAGAAAAACTGTCAAGCTGTAAGACTTTCTTGGATATAGTCTTAGAGACGGTTAATATAGTGTGCGCAAAACTGTTGAAATGATTTTTATAGACGTTCGAAAAGTATGCACGATTCTATCGATGAGAAAGGATCTGTTTAAGTTCTGCAAAGGCTCAATTGAATTAAGACGAATGGAAAAAAGAGTGCAAAAATTTGCCTCCTCCGAATGAATAATCATACCATTGATAGGCGCTGATTAATGGTTGTAGAAAAATAAAATATTGTTTCTCTATGCCCTCTGCCGAAAGATAAGTTTCAATTATTGTACATTTCTGAAAAGTACGTTTTATATGTAACCAATAAGCGCTTGATAGAGCAATCGCCAGAAAAAAGTGTTCTGATGATATATCGAGACCTTCAAAAAAACCCAGTTCATCTAGCGAAATGGTTCCGCTAGACTTCCAACGGTTCCGCTAGACTTCCAACGGTTCCCTTTTCTGATGGTTTGTCTCCTATTATTTTCTGTCCCTCAGAGACAACAAACGTTCCTCTTCATTGATTTTAGACGTTTATAATACGTCTGACTAAATAATTTATTCGTTGGAAGGCGAAGAAACGGTAGAACTAATGCCCCATTAATAACCCGCTTTTCAGTTCAGTATGAACAGGTCTTTTTTTGTGATTTTTCTTTACTGTCAAATAAACAGTTCATATCGTTTTCGAATATAAAAAATAATCTTTTTAGAAAAGCTTCTGCCGAACAAGATCTGCAGAAAAGATCTTCATGTAATAATTCAAGTGTATTTGGCGGCTAACATCGACTGTACAGTCTTATCCAATCACAAATATTTTCTCGTATATTTAAAGCATCAATGCTAAGAAATTATTAGAGTCAATTTCGTTTATTCTGTTCGTCTAAATAATATCACCGAAAATTTTTTCACAAACAAAAAAGAGTAATGAATACACAAAAAATTAATTAATAAAAAATAGAGCAAGCATTTTATAAACAACGTACAACGCATAATTGTATTTCTTGTAACAGAAACAAGTAACAAACGAATAAAGAAAACAAAGTATTAAAACTAATCTCATTCTACATTTATCGGACAAATACAAAAAGTTTCGATTTTGAATTATTCAGACGCAAAAAAATTCAGTCTTTTTTAGTTTGTGGGGAGTGATGCTTAGATGCTGCCCAATTGCGTAACTGTTCAATATTTCTAGCTTTCGTGGTAGTCGAGGGAGTAAAGGTATTATGCTGCTGTTGTTGATTATTTCGATTATTTGATGAAAATCGAGATAAAGAAGAATTTAAATCAGCTGTTGTTCTTGTATTTGATGAATACATACTTTTAACATTCACAGACGTGCCAAGAGTATTCGATGATGACGGTTCACATGACTGTTGTTCTGATCCAGCGGATGCAATTATATTTCGATGATTAAAAGTTGACGATGCCTCTTTCATCAATTCTTGATCCTGCAATGAACACTATTTGTAACAGTAGACTCATGAAACTTCTCAAAACATACTTGTCTTTCACGATGTAACTCTTGTTCATTATCACTCATAATAAAAGTCAATATTTTAAGAGCTTCTTCAAGATCATTATTGCCATCTTCTAATGCACATTTAACCATCGTACGATCTTCAAAACCCATACAAACTAACGATTCAATATTTTTTTCCATATCATAAGATAGCATCAATCCTGAATTAGAATTATCACTAAAATAAAATGAAGAAACGATAACTTTTTTCTAAAAGTTATCAAAGTGTTCGTGTTTACTTCGTCCGATGTCGACGTTTCATTTCATCATCTTTGTTAGTTTCTTTAGTAGTATCTGTATCATCTTCAAATGATATAGCCAGTTTTTTAAAATTGTTTTCACTACGTTCTACTGTCGTTGTCGCTTGTAAAGAGGATGTTGGAGAGATTTTTAATTCTGTTGATGATGACGTGATTGGGTATTGATTCTCCGTTTCCGAATCAACTTGAATACCCGATTTGCGTTTGGAACTCTCCGATGATGATTCATGGTCAAGTCTAAAAATGACAACAGAATCGTATACAAATATATGTACTGGTAAACGTAGCTTACGTTTTTGATTCGACAGATGTACAAGAACGTTTAATGGTAGAATTATCTGTAGTTATCGGATCTACTGACGGTCGTTTCCGTTTAACAACAATACCACTTGGTAATTGCAAACTTTTTTGCCTCTCATTCTTTCGATCATTCTTCCCATTTTTCTCATCTTGTTTGTCTTCATCGTGATTTAATTTCAACAATTTTTTGCTGACAAATGAAGCACATTAGATGCATTAAAAAAATCAAAACATTTTGTTTTACAATTATACCTTTCCATTGCGCCGCTATCGGAAATATTTGTGCAAATAGATGATTCACGAGAAGTATTATCTATTTTCGAGAAAAGCATTGGCAATAAAAAGAATATTTACCAAGCTGAGAATACATACCAAGTCTATCACCATTTTCTTGTTCAACAGGGTTATTCTGAATAATACGTGATTCATTTTGATCTGAAAAATTTAAAACAGAGAAATATGTTAAATACTTCGATTATCGTGCTTAAAACTCATATTTTTACCATTTCCATTAGCGGTATTACTACGTTTTTCGTTTTCATTATTATTTGGTTCGACTTGTATTATGACCTCTTCATTATCACCTAATTTGAAATTAACCTCAAATCAGTTTAAAAAATAATTGATTTGATAAGAGTTAAAGACAGACCGTGTGGATTGTTGATAAGTGTCAAAGTATTTGTTAATGAGATTGGTACATTATATAGTTGTGTTGTATCGTTTGACTCATTTTCAGACACATGGTCTAAATTAGATCACGAGTAATAAACGGAAAATGAACTTTTATAAAAGTATGTCGAGTTTCTTTAGTCTTACTTGCAGTAGCGGTTCTTCCATTCCTTTGTTGTTTGTCAATTTCAATAGTTTCGTTGATTTGTTGTTCAGTAGCGTTTGTTAAATCATCAGAATGTGACATTGATTCAAATATTCTCAATAAATAATCGCTGATCATAGGCACTAGTATAAATGGAAATGATGTATTAAATATTCACAACATGAAAGATGTATGCTCACATGTTAATGGTTGTTGACTGTTTTTATCGTTGATTAATTTCTCAACATTTTGAGTAAGATTCACAACTTTTACTCCTAATTCTTCAACTTTGTCGAATAACGATCGACAACAAGAGCAATGCTGATGTTCCGTTATGAAACACGATGAGATACTCATCATTGTTATATCTAAAAATATAATAATTAAAATAATTAGTTTTGTTCACGTACAAAGTATAGTAATTCAGTAAAAATCACAAGTTTCTGGTGCAGTGTAGAATATACAAGTTACAATTTTTTGTGAAATTTTGGTAGATCTACTAAACACCGCCCACCATGTTTACTAAAGTCAGATTTAATCGACAAGAGAAGACTATTTTTGATAATTAACATCAATAGGCTAATATATTTATTCGGATATTAAAAACAGGTGAGTCTAATAAAGAAATCCTAATGATCTCTTTGACAGACATGCAATAGTGAGGAGAAAGTGAATTATTCAATCAATGTATAAAGAAACATCAAGTCAAAAACATATCAATTCAATCGAGAAATTTTAAAACCGTGTTCGATCAAAACTGACTCCAGATTCGGACTCGTCATAGTCGGTTACCTTGTATGTAACAAGTTTTGAATTTTTTAAGTTTTGATCAGGAACTTCGTAAAAAATTCTTTTGAAAAACAATGGAGACAAATTTTTCTGGAGTATCCCGATCCAAAACTTGTTGCGTACAACGTAACCGACTATGGAGAGTCCGAATCTGCGATCGGTTTTGACAGAACATGCTTTTAAAATTTCTCGACTGAACTGCTATGAAATTTGAAGCATTTGTTTTCATAGTTCATTTCACGTGATTATAGAGTCATGTAACTGTTCTGAACTCGAGATAGTATGTTTTGTTAAAGAGAATGGATCGTAGAAGTGAAGAACATCTAAAAATGTGAAAAGATGAGAATAAATTGATACTTAAATATGTTTCTCGGAAAAATCTCAAAAAACCTATAAGATTTTGCCCTCAAAAAGTAAGTTCTATTTATATTTATCCTAAAGCGGCTGTTTCTGTTTCAAGTTTAAAAAAACATAGTAAGTAGCAAGTAATAGCGAAAATCTCTATCAGCAAAACGAAAGATAACGCCCTCTTGCGAAGAAGGCGCATTTCAAACCGAATGTAGAACTCGGCGAAAAGATGAAATATCCACAAAAAGTCAAACTGATGTACGTGACATCATTGTCAAATACTTCAGCAGAAGAAATTTGATCAACTATATCAGTACTAATCTTTTGCAATAAATAAAATTGCTGTTCATTCCAAAATTCTAAACATAACAGAAACATAAGTCAAATAGCAGCGTTTTGAATAATATTCATCGATATTGACGAAACGACTATGTACTGCGATCCGAAGGATTACATTAGACATTTCTCATTGTCTAATAATCAAAATGTAATTGATGATTGACACTTGAGATTCGTTTTAGCGCCACGTGTCGACAGCTAGCAAGCATCAGTGGTCCGAAGGAAACAAAAATGCGTAATATCTAGTCTGATATTGTTCAATCGTACAAGTTGATATTCTTTTCATTGTTTATCACGTAACGAATGTTGTCAGGAAAACTCAAATCTAGAAAAGAGTAGCAAAAAAAGCAAACTGATCCGGTTAGTATAACGATACATATTTATAAGACAATTAAAAGATGATTACAAGATATTTTGCGATAATATTCCAACGTACAAAATTAAAGTACTTCTCCTAATTCTGTTTAAGACAAATGTCTTATTAGAACAGAGTACATATTATTACATAAATAATAAAATCCCAGAAAAAGAAACGATCAAAGGATCGTCTACACGAATTGATTAAAATAGGCTACCAGATGTACCAAAAAGTAGTCTAAAAACTGTAAGAGGAAATTTATGCAACAAAATGTATACAAACTCAAAGAAAAAAACTGAATAAAGTCACTATTTGTCCATAAAATATGATAAAAAACGCTTATTGAGATAAAAAAATATAAAAACTAAGTTATAGATCTACAACAACACTAACAGTCATAGGCAGTAAATGCTACATACATAAATGATGAAATCTGATCTATGATAATCTACTAGAATACTCAAAGAGGCTACAACACACCTCTTTATTACGTCTAAGATACAAGATTTAGAAATTAATCAATTACTGATGATACACAAAGATTAGATCGTCTAGAATTAAAAGGCGATTATACTTCAAAGCGCTAATGTCATTCGAAGAAGACTTTCGATTTTTCTTGTCTTTTCACATCACAAATCAAATAACACGAAAACTTTCTCATTCGTAGATGCAGTTTACATAAATGCATATGTTTTGTCAGAGGCTTTTATCTTTGATAGTTGTTACGAATACTTTTCCTTAACTCGTATTTTTGGTCGATTATTTGACACAATTACAAGAGAAAAGTGACCAATCTCGCGTGATATATTTCCATGTGCATAACGCACATTTTTTTTCAAAAATACTTCTATATGCTGTTTCTCTGCCGACGAAGATAAATAAAAATAAGTGACAAATGGACTGCGTGGATTCGCATAATGATTGAGACTCAGCACGATATTTTTCTCGAAAACAATAATGATCGCTACCATACTATAAAAGCAGAATAAAGAAAATACGATAATCAATTCTATTCTAAAAGTTTGTGTGTTCAATCAGAACATCGTCTATATAAATCTTGACGATAAAAAAAGACAAAAGAGCTGAAAAGAGGAATCAGTAGGACAAAATACTATATTAGTAGATTAAATTTTTTTCATAATCTGACAAATTAGTTTTAATAAAAAAAGATCTTCTATATACTCACGAAAACATCCGTGAACAAGGATGCTAAACAAAACGTTGCCTTACGTATTGGCACTTATAATATATAAAGTATGGCATTTTAGATACATCAACATTACTCAAATCAAAATTTTCTATCTACTACTGCAAGGTTTTGTCGAAACTAAGTTATATCCATGTGGTAAAAATCGGCGACTTAGTGTTAGATTGTTGAGGCACTATATCGGGATTAGTCGGCGACTTTCGATAATTAAAACGCTCTGAGCGCGTCCTCAAAAAAACTAATCTAGAAGAGGCAATCGCCATTGACATTCGAGTTTATTGTATACTTGTTTACCTGCAAAATAAAACAGTGAATGACTAGAAAACCCCAAATCGCCAACTAATCGCGCTTTTTGAAAATAGTCGACGTTTAATCGCGATATGCAAAAAATTCGTCAATTCTAGGTGGTCCAAAGATGTAAAAAGGACACATCTCACGCTGATCAAGTCCATTTGCAATCGAGCCAAATAACCAATTGATATTACTGGATTTGCTTTAAAAAAAAGATCTGGATGCGATCCAGCCCTGTTTCGTAACTTGGAGAGTTTCGTAGAGTAACAGTAACCAGTGTGCACTGTGGTAAGTCTGGATTTTCCTGAGAATCTAGCAGAGTAGGTTAACACTTTAGGCAAACATCCGACGACTTGAAGAAAGTTAAATTCTCATTCATTTGTTTTGAATACAAAGACATTTTTAGTTTTAAAAGATGTTAGCAAAAGCATACAAGCACTTTTATCTTCCTAAACTAGCATAACTGTTACACCATCTAGTTGTTATTTCTTATACTGATTATTAATATTTTTTTGTTATACATGATAATGGGTCATAGGTACGGGTGTGATCGAGCGCCTCTTCATTAAACATGAGTAACTCATTACGCATAACTGGAGAAATTAGTATTTGAATAATAACTCACGAACACCTGCTCACAAAAAGTTCCATCCAAAGAAAGGGCACTTCTTCATTGTATGATCAAGAAAAAGTTCAAAAGAATCGTACAGTTTGGACGAAGCCTTCATACTATTTCGGCACTCACAACTTAATTTTTTCAATAATCTGGAGCTTTTTTTGAAGTATACTGAACGTGATATCCTTGTTAACGCAAGAACTAAAGCTCGTTGCTGCGAGTCAGGATAAAAAAGTACACGTATTAAACATTTATCAAATACCTCGAACCATACCAGCAGAAGACGTTGGAAGCCCTTGAAGATCGCTACAAGCGTCACATAATGATATAAATAGAACAAGCACATACCATGAAACACATGCATACTGATCTTTGACCTAAGTAGACTCATCTCTCAAATTCACATCAATACTTATTTCATATCAAATACTTTTGAAAATCTACCTCAGCTCAAGTTTTATTACGTCCGAAATGTCCAACACGTTCATGACATTCTTTATCTTTTAAAGAAAATGTGGACGCATCTCGCTAAGTCACGCTAAGAAAAAATGTGTGTGTTCAAATGCCTAATATTGTTAAAAATATATTTATGTGATTATTTAAAAAAACTAATTAACGACCTACAGAGTGGACGTGTTTCTCTCAGCTGATCCGCGCTCTGCAAAGAATTTATTGACTTTCAACTGTAAATCTATCATTAAAACCTAATTTTTTCG